GGGCCCGGGGGCCGCGCACCCTTCCCCCCCCCCCCCCTACCTGGCAGAGCCCTGTGCCCTGCCCGCGCAGGGAGCGCTCAGTGCAAAGCCCTTTTTTGGGGGGCAGGTGGAAGGGAATAATTAAGCAGGTCTCCCCCCACACACCCCAGTGCAGCTCTCTGGTGTCCGGCCAGGGTGGCTGGTGCGTGGCACGGGGTCAGGAACCCTCAGTGGGATGCTCTTGAAAGGTGATGCTGAGTGGGTTTTTGGACAGATCTTTTTTTCCCCTTCAGCATGATGGGTATTTGGGTGGGGAGGGAGGTTGCTTTTCCCACAGTGTCCCTCCTATTTCACCCTCCGTGCCCCTAGGGCAAGGTCACTGCCTCAAGCCTATTGCGGGGAGTGTGGTAGCTCCACGCCATCCTTGTTGGGGAGGGGAAGGTCACATCAGCCTGCCGTGACCCCACTGCTCCCCCCCACCATTTGTGGGACACCACTGACAAGCGCTGGGGTAGCCCAGGAGCCTTTTAGCTATAACCAGCATGTTGCTCTGTGTTTACCAGTCCAACCTCCATGTTCTTGGTTGCTGGTACAGGACATTCCCCGCCCCCCAACCCTTGTCCCCACAGTCTTCCTTACACATGCACACACGCCTCCCTCACCTGGATTTTCCTGCTAACCTCCCTGCGGCACCCTCGAGGGACACATGGCTCCAGAGGGCACCCGCTGCGGCCAAGGCTCAGGGCTTTCCTCCCCTGTGACCCCAGGCACGTGCGTGGGGCAGGGCAGCATATCAAAGGGGTGGCAGGACGGTTCAGCATCCTTGGGCAGCTTTTTGCAGCTGGTCCCAAAGGTGGGTGCCCTTGCACAGTGCGTATCAGCTTGTGAGACCCACTTATTTAAAATACACACATTTAAGGGGTGCAAATTTACACGCGTGTGCATCTGTGCATGCAAATGCACTCAGGCTCCGTGCAAGGTGGGGGAATGGCTCCTTCCCGCAGCGAGCAAGCCCCCCCTGACCCCATATGTCCTCCCCGCAGCCTGCCCAGCCATGGCAGCCTCGCTGAGCCGCCCCTGCTTCATCTCCCTCCACGTGCCCTACAGGCAGGGCTGGGCCCAGGACCTGGCCACCACCTTTCGCTTCCAGCCGGTGGCCGTGCGGGAAACACCGCGGGTCCGGCAGCTGGCCTTGCAACGGGGATCCACCACCTTCCTCATCAACAAGCGCCTGGCGCCGGCGCCCGCCAGCGCCTCCTCCTGTGATTTCCTCTAGCCGCCCCTGCTTCATCTCCCTCCACGTGCCCTACAGGCAGGGCTGGGCCCAGGACCTGGCCACCACCTTTCGCTTCCAGCCGGTGGCCGTGCGGGAAACACCGCGGGTCCGGCAGCTGGCCTTGCAACGGGGATCCACCACCTTCCTCATCAACAAGCGCCTGGCGCCGGCGCCCGCCAGTGCCCCTCCTCCTGATTTCCTCTACGACGTGGACCCCCGGCCCGCTTTTGGCACGGCCTCCAACGTCTGCTTTGAGGTGGATGACGTGCCAGGGCTCTGCAAGCGGCTGCAAAGCCAGGGATGCTCTCTGCCAGTGCCCCCCACCGAGGTGAGGGATGATGGCGGCTCTGTCACCTACGGGGTGGCGAGCTCCATCGTGGGTAACGTCAGCCATACCCTTCTGGACCGATCCCGCTACCGGGGACCCTTCCTGCCCGGCTTCCAGCCCATCCAAGGAGCCCCCTCGGCCGCGGGAGATGGGATTGAGATCACCCACTTCGACCACATCACGTACGTCTGCCCGCGGGGCGGCGCCCAGGCAGCTCTGGACTGGTACCAGCGCTGCTTTGGCTTCCGCCGCTTCCTGCTGAACCCGCGGGAGAGGCCGGCCGAGGGGTACGTGGTTGGCGGGCAGGGCATGGGCATGCTGCTCCTCGCGCTGCAGAGCGCCCAAGGCGCCCTGGCACACGGCTGCAAGCTCATCCTTGCCGAGTCCCTCTCGAAGGATGGTGCCAACCAAGTCGACACGTTCCTAGAGCAGCACGGTGGGGCTGGGATCCAGCACGTCGGCCTCCGCACCACCGATATCGTTGCCACGACCAGGGCTTTGCAGCAGGGGGGTGCGCGGTTCTTCATGCCCCCCGACGCCTATTACAGCCAGGGGGGCAAATCAGAGGAGATCCAGGGAGCCGGGCAGGACCCCTGCACACTGGCAGAGCTGGGCATCCTGCTGGACACCACGGCGCCCGGGGACAAGGGCCGGCCGGGCGCTGATGCCACAGAGAGCCCTTCCCAGGAGTATTTGATGCAGATCTTCACCCATCCCATCTTCTCTGAGGAGACCTTCTTCCTAGAGCTCATTGACCGGCGGGGAGCACCGGGCTTCGGGGAAGGCAATATACAGGCACTGTGGAAAGCTGTGCAGGTCTATATGGACCAGCAGCAGTAGTGGCAACACTGCAATCCTCCTCCCTCAGCTGCTCATCCTCTCCAGTCCAACCCTGGGGCAATACACCACTGTAGAGATACCAGCGGGTGCCTGCGGCATGGCCCAGGTCGGCAGGGACCAAGGGAGGTCTCCAGGTCAAGCCGAAGCCAACTTCAGCATGACAGCAGGTTGCTTAGAGCCAGGTCCAGTGAGGTTCTGAGCATCCCCCGGGTGATTTCTCCCCCTCCATGGGTTCCCAGTGAGTTACCGGCCTCATATGAAGAACTTTCTGCCTTAATTTCATCTTGAGCTAATCAGACTTGTGCCTGCAGCATGGCCAAGGACACTACTGTCAGAGCAACACCCCCAGACATAGGGGATGAGGGGCTGCCAGAGGGGAGTGGATAACCCAGGGGCCATGGACACCACAGCTCGTCAACAGGTACCACCCAGAGCACGGCCAGCCCCTGTGCAGGGCAAGTGATGGCCTCTTGCTCCTCTCAATTAAAGAATTAACCTGCAAGCACTGCTTTGTTTTTTTTTCTCCTCCCATTTAAGATCTGCCGAGTGCCAGGCGAGGATGAAAGGGCCCTTTCCACTTTCCACTGCAGTCCCTAAACTGAGGCCACTTGCCCCTCATGCAGCCCCCAGGACTGGCCCCTGTCCCTGCCAGCCCCAGGCGGGGACACAAGCCTGGGGAGGAGGAAAACCCTTGGCAGCCCCCTGGGAAGAGCCTCCCAGGCTTGTGCCTTTGCAAGGGTGCTACTGTGCATCAGTCAGGGAAAGCCACAGCATGAACACGGTGGGGAAGAGCCTGATGGAAAAGGTAAAAAAGGGGGATAAAACCCTACAAAAAAGCCCAGGGGATGGCTGCCCAGCCCCATGGAGGAGCAGCCCGCAGGCAGAGCTGCGCAGCTCCTGGGGGCTGATCCCTGCCCTCTCAGGAGAGGTGCTCTAGGTGCCTTATTTGGGGTCACTAGCAGTTAACACTCAGCCAAGGGGCTTATGGGTGCATTAACGAAGAAATGCCTGCTGTCCCCAGCCCAGATGTAGGGATCCTGCCGGCCATCCCCCTATTTGACCACAGGCTGCCCGACAGCCCCAGCTTAGCACAATGCAACAGAGGCAGGAAGTAACTTAAAAAACCCTGCGCACTTTAGGAGATTTATTATTAGAAAGCTTGTGGCTCAGGTTCAGTAAAAACAAGTGTATAAAAAGGGCCATTGGAGACCAGGAAGGGTACAGCAGCATCCACAATCACTGGCTGGGGGGCGAGGTGCAGGCAGGCAGGTGGGGACAGGGCTGCGGGAACGATGGGGCCACAGTCTTCCTGCCGCCAGCGAGAAACCGCTGCTGCTGTGAGTCCACAGTGCCGGAGTGGTGGCTGTACAGGGCTGAATAACCCCAGGAGGGCTCCAGCTGAGCAGGGAGGGCAAGCCTGGCTCCGGGTCACATCCAGGACCACGCTGGCCCCATTAAGGCACAACTCCGAGGGGAGAGCTGAGGAAGCCGGCAGACTCTGCAAGGAGGAGCAGGAAACCATTACAGGGCTGTAGGCTGGACATGCAGCAGCGTGAGGGACACCATCCCAACACCACAGGCAGGACTCACTGTAGTACAGGTCTCCGGTGGTCCCAGATGTTAAAGGTGCCATCATGGGGAGGTGGGTGCCCGGAGGAAGGCATAGAGGGAGAGTTGCATCCCAGGGCGGCTGCTGCTTGCTCCCTGTGGCTTTGCCCCCCGCTTCCGCTTGGAGCCCTGCAGGAGAGACACACTTGGGGCCAAGCCAAACCCCAAGGGCCCCCACAGCCTCCAGGGATTGCCTTTGAGGCAAGGGGGGGGACCCTGGTATTGGGGACATCCCAGGCAAAGCCAGCCAGGCAAATCCCCCAGGTGCAGCCCTGCCCCAGGCTAGGGATGCTCCTCAGTGTCCTGGTTTCAGCTGGGATAGAGTTAATTTTCTTCCCAGTAGTTGGTACAGTGCTGTGTTTTGGATTTAGTATGAGAATAATGTTGATAGCAACAACTAAGACATCGGTGTGTTAAGTAGTGCTTACACTCATCAAGGACTTTCAGCTTCTCGTGCCCTGCCAGCGAGAAGCTGGGAGGGGACACAGCCAGGACAGCTGACCCAAACTGGCCAAAGGATTATTACATACCATACATCATGCTCAGTATATAAACTGGGGGCATCAAGGACTTTCAGCTTCTCGTGCCCTGCCAGCGAGAAGCTGGGAGGGGACACAGCCAGGACAGCTGACCCAAACTGGCCAAAGGATTATTACATACCATACATCATGCTCAGTATATAAACTGGGGGGAGTTGGCCGGGGGGCAGCAACCGCTGTTTGGGAACTAGCTGGGCATCGGTCAGCGAGTGGTGAGCAATTGCATTGTGCATCA